TGATGGAGGTTGAGCACTCACGGTAGAAGTAGTTGAGCTGAAGGAACCAAACACAACTTCAGCGAATGCTAATTTTTCATAACTGAGCTGACAGAAGAATCACAAAAATGTACATTTTGCAAAAATAAACAGGGTCCACTGGTGCAGAAAGTATTCTCTTGGTTTTAGTTCTAAGTTTCGATGTATTATTACGTAGTGGTTAGATACATTTTTATATTCAAAGTGATTAAGTTATCATAAATGTCTATAAAAATTTTAATACATATAATGTGCAAAGGCAACATTAAGGTGCATTTCTAGAAATAACCACATTCTGACTATTTTATATATGCTGCCAGGCAATTCCATGCAGGAATGTCAGTGTGTAAATTACAAGTATCTCATATGCACACAGGTCCACTGATACCTAACTTTCTTTTAGAATAGGGATACCGTTATGCTGTGAAGATTGATGGCTGTTTTGGAAGGCTACAAAACATTTTAGGGGTGGATCTTTGCTGGAAGAAATATTTGTGTGACTAATTAAATATATTTCACATCCTACAAATGCTTGAAATTTAAATTGGAATGTATATTAAAATATAATTTTAAGCGACATAGGAATATTAATATAAGGTCAGCAGTAGCTTTAATTCTATGTGTTTTCCTAAAATAACTTTCTTTCCCACTTTGCTGTGTAACTGTCCTGGGAGTTTATTTTCTGTGGTTTTTAATCTGGGGCAGGGCGAGGTGGAGCAGGTTATCCTTTCAGCAGATGAACCTGCTCCTAGTTGAGCTTGCCTCAGTGCTTGCTTTTGTTCTGAGGAGTCTGGATTTACTCCTTCACCTTCCTTCTCTTTTGCTCCCTACTTTGTCTCCATGAAATTTTCTCATAGACAGGAGACTGCTCACAGGGCACTCAGCCCTCCCAACCATGATTCCCCATTCTGAAGTCAGGTCTTCAGAAGGAACATGGTCTCAGGGTCCTTTCATATCTTCAGAATCTCTTTTACCAAGTAAAGTTATGCTGACTATGCTCTTTCAGACTTTCTCCCTTACTTCAGGGAAATAAGTGGCCAGCTAGAAATGAAAACATGTATTAACTCTTGGCATAATCCCTATTTTAGGCTGAGTCTCAACTTCATTGCAGGCCATGGGATTGTAGCCATTTCTTGTGCCACTAAAGATTAATTTTCTTCCCCACTTCTTGATCATGTGATGTTTCAATGAGAATAGTGAGCTAGCCATACTTGAACTCAGTCATTTATTATAATCCGTCAGAGATCCCCTGATCTGATTGAGAATGCAGAGGGAAGATGGAGGGACACTGTTTTAGCAGCCTTTGGGGGTTTTATGTCACCTTGACAAAAAGTAGAGTTATTTTGGAAGAGGAAACCTTAATTAAGAAAATGCCCTCACCAGTTGGCCTGTGGGTAAACCCATGGTCCATTTTCTTAAATGGCATGTGATATGGGAAGGGCTAGTGATTTTGGATGCTATAAGACAGCAAACAGAGCAAGCCCAGAAGAGGCAGCCAGTAAGCAACACTCTCCCTATGGCCTCTGCTTCAGCTCCTGCCTCCAGGTCCCTGCCTTAACTTTTCTAGATGACAGGCTATAAGCTGTAAAATAAATAAATAAATAACACAGCAAAAACAAAACAAACAACTGACAAAAAAATCCTTTTCTCCCCAAATTGCTTTGGGTCATGGAGTTTTATCACAGCAGTAAAATCCTAACTAAGACATGTGGGATATGGCAACACACTGAAATCTCTTTGTTTAATCTGACTAACATACTTCAATAAAAGTTTCTGGAGTTGTGGAATTGGTCCACATCTTCATTGTCAGAACAGAATGCGGCGTACAGCCTCGCCGATAAGGAGAACGCCACACTCAGGATTCTTCTGACAGCAATTTATTGTACAGCTCTTTAGATGGCAGTGAGGCGAGGGACGCCAAGCCCGAAAAACCTGTGGCTTATATAGAGCCCTAGGAGATGTGCCGCACACTCATTGGCTCTCACTACATTGCCAAATTAGCATACTGGTTTTCGCGCCTTGCGCAGGCGCACATTCAAGCAAGGCTCTCAAGAAGAACCAGGAACCAGGAAACCGGCGCCATGTTGCAATGGCAAACTCGGCTCCTAACAACAAAAGCCACTGGCACATGGAGCTCTTAAGCACGTGAATACATTTATAAGACTGAAAAACTGTTTTCTTTTATTTTGATTAATTCAAATTTAAATTTATAGGGCGACACACACAGCAAATGGCTACCACATTAGGCAGCAGCTCTAAGCAATATAAAACATGAATATTACACACTGTCACCAAGGAAATGGAAATAAAAAGGGACATCCATGAAATGTAACTGACAGAGGGGACACTGCTATTTTCAAAGAGAGAAAAGAGAGGTTTCAATAAGTCAAAGGTAGTGTGCTCAGGAGAATGGGAAAGCAAGTGGTATCGTGGACTGAAAAGATTGTTAGGCTATCCTGGAAATCAGAGGTTGTTAGGCTATCCTGGAAATCAGATGTTTTAACAGGTTGAGTTTCCAGTGGTAAGAAGGCCCCCTGGTAGAAACAATTAGAATTTTCAAACTGCATGGGTGGAGGTGGATCAGAGCAAGACAAGTGAAATATTTTTCTTTGACACTATCTTGAGAGTCTTTTCATCTTCTATGCACCCCCTTCCTAAGACTGCCTTGTCCTCCCCCACATGGAGGGACCCTGATATATGGCATAATAATGATGGTACAGAGAAATTACTATTTCACCTACTGGGTGATTAATATGAAATTAGTTACTGCAACCCTCAGTAGTGTGGAAAAGATAGAGGAAGAATTTAGTTTTGTTTTAACAGAGAAAAATACAAGTTCCAATACTGCTTGGCATACACGGAGAACTGTTTCATCTAAACTCTCTACACATTTAGCAAACTTAATTAATGAGAAAAACTTCAAAGAATGAGGAGATGAAATACGAAACACAGATTCCAGCGTTCTATTTCTGCTATTTTAGAAAAACCAGGCTTGGTGCTTTCCCCTTCCATTAATACACAGTGTAGTCCCATGTGGCAGCTAGAAGGTATTTATTTATCTACTAACTGATTTTTCTCAAGCCATCTCACTTATGAGGGAGAAGTGAGGAAACATTCACTCCCACCCTTTGACTCCCCCCCCATGTCTTTTGCCTAATTAACAATGGAAATCCATCCGTATCCTTGCAGTACAGGAAACCTTCTCTGATAAACCGTCTGTACCATCCCCTGAAAAAACTGATAAATCTTAGCATACTCCCCATTTTAGGTGGAGTCGCAAATTTCAATGGAGCAGGTTATCTCCTTTATAAAAGTTATTCAAAGCAAGCATCCATGAATCTGGGACTAACATGCATTGAAAGGGAGGGCCCTTAATGGGTGCCCTACTGTGTAATCTTCTTTTCATCTTAATTCAGAATTCCTTAAGGATTCAAACTGCCTTATGCAAAAATATAAATCCTTCCAATTATTTATCTGTCAGGTACATTTTTAGCCTAGTCAAACAGATACACAACAATGTGTCCTGACATTTATTTTTATCTGTTTTGACCCAGAGATGCTGCTTTCCTATCCTGTGCCACCTTCTAACTGTCTTATTTTGTTACTTTTCTTTCCCTTGTTCAATTTCTTCTCCTTTCTACTTAAAAAAAAAAAAAAAAAACAAAAAAAAACTAAAATACAAACACTTGGACAGCATTTCTCACAAGGAAAAAAATAAAGAACTTTGAAAGATCATGGCTTCTAAAGAGTTTGACAAAGGGTTTGATGTTTGGAAAATGAAAATAGCTGCCTCGTTCAAAAAAACAACTGTTTTTGTTTGAAAAGACGTTGCTGGGAGACTTTATGTTTTGTTTATAACTGATCCAAGCCTTCTGTCTGTGTCTCCAGGCAAACACAGAGCTTTCCCCACTAGCCGTAGCTCTCCTGTGTTCCCTGAGCCCTGGACTTGAGCTTTGAGTCCATTCTTCCTTAAGGAAGACTCAGCTTTAGATACCTGAGTCAGGATCATCTTAGTCTCTCATCCCACCCACTTTGCTCTTCTCAAGGGTAAATGGTTCAAGGGTCTCCCGAAACCATCCACAGTACCACTGCCCAGTAGAGCATCCTAGTGTGCTTTCTATCTTAGTGTACTAGTGGGAGCCAAAGAGAACCAAGCTAATGCTCTCTGGATAAATTCTCAGAATTCAGGTGGGTACAGAATCCACCTAAATATATTATCTGCTGCATCCCCAGGAGTCTACATATTGTCACTGGCTAGCAGTAACATTCTGTACTGTCACCTAAAGCTTTGGCTATGGAGTTCTGCCAGTAATGGAGTTTAATCCATTATATGTGCCAATTCATCTCTGTCACAAGCCTATTAATTTCCTCATTAGTTTACTCTGTCCCTAGCCCTTGTACAATGAGGCACAATGATCCCTATTTGTGTAACAAAAAAAAAAAAAAAAGACTTTGAGTCTCTTATAAATTACCCTCAATTCTCCTGTTTTTAGTTCCCAGACTTTTTCTGTATTTCTTCTTCGTACTTAAATTATTTTTTTCAAATTCTTCTTTAGAAGAATACATGGAAATTCTGGAGTACTAAAGAGTGACGTTATAGTAAAGTGTAAGACTCTGGTTGGCGCTTTCCCATGTGGCCTTGTCCCAAGAAAAACTTCATGGTATATCTCTTTTGAGGTATACTATTGCCACAAGCACAGCTCCTTTGTAGGGAGGGACAGCTATCCGTCCAGTCATCAGTAGGAGATATGTCAAAATACCTATAGCATTGCTATCAAAGTGAAGACTCTGTGACAAATAAAGGTCATGGATTTAACATTAATCCTCTTATGCTGCTGGCATTTCTGCATGGTGTGATCCTGAGGAAACAGAGAGTGACAGCTAAGTGGCTAGAAAGAGTTAACACTGATTCAAGAGACTACTTCATCGGACCAGCATAGGAAATTCACATTAGTCTATGCTACCTCTTCTATATTTTTCAGGGTTGGAGCAAAACATCAGGAGCTAAGGGAAAAGCAGGCAAGAGGCCTTGTTGATTATGCCACTGCGGTGACTGGACCAGTGCACGATATGGACGATGATGAAATGGACCCCAATTATGCCAGAGTGAACCACTTTCGGGAACCATGCACATCAGCAAATGTCTTTAGATCTCCGTCTCCCCCTCGAGCTGGACCACTTGGTTACCCTCGGGATGGACGCCCACTGTCTCCAGACCACTTAGAGGGTCTCTATGCCAAGGTCAACAAGCCATATCATCCACCAGCCCTAGCTGACAGGTAATATAACTGAGTGAAAGATGAATGCAGTTTTAATTCAGTAAGTTTCAAAGCATCTCTACTGCTGAAGCAGATAAAAATGTATCCATCCCTCCACCTATTAAAACCACTATGACATGGTGCCCTACACAAGTGTTGTACTTTGACCTACCAGTAAGGTATCAGTCATCAAAATTAAAACAATAGCTGGTTATAAGGTGACATTAATGGATGGTGACAGTAATTAATGGATGGTGACAGTACAGCGCATGGTACAACAGGGAACAATTTTTGCAGGAATACAGTGGCAGAGAACTAATGAAAGCTTATATTGTCTTTTCTTCTAAGATCCCTATTGTATTGAGGAAGAGGGCATGGAACCTGGAAGTATGGAGTCAGAAAAGGGAAAATGGCTTCTGAGTAGGTGTAGTTGAAGTAGGACTATAGATAGCTATGGAGAAAAATAAGATTGGGAAAACTAAACTGTCTAGCTATTCACTGATGAGCAGGGGCAGAAAATGAGGTAATCTTGGTCCTAGCAGTTTGATGAAGTAGAGGAAGATAGGAAGTGACCTGTAGCTTTAGCAGCCAGGGAAAGAGATATTGGGAGCATCTGTCTGAAGCAAGTAAGGAACAGGATAATTCCAACCCCACCTCTTGCCAAAAGAAAAATGCCCTGTCTCAGGAAAGGCTGCTCTAAAGGAGCTTCAATCCAAATGCGTGATTAGGTGACCTTGGAGCCCCACATTCCAGGAGTGGGTTGATGGACGTCGCTCTAACTTGACTGCTACTGCTTGGAATCTGGAGGGGTGGGGGAAGGTGAGGATGAAGGTGTGAGAAGCTCTTGTTCTAGAAGAAAGAAAACGACTCATTCTCCAGATTTCTCAGGGTTCTGACAAGCACCGGGTCCCTAGCAGTAGCCAGCGTTGGTGTGATAGCATGATATATTGCGTATGTTTACCGTTTACACATTTCCCCAGCTGGGTGATATTATGCACTTTCAATTAGGTTGGGGAGAGGAAGGGAAATCATGGCATTTTTATGCAGACTGTAAAGTGTAGCTTCACAAGACTGATTACCTTTCAGAACCTTTCCAATAACCAAGTGGGAAGCAAGGAGCAATTTTTAATCCTTACTGTCAAGCTTCCAGGTTGATAATATTAAAGAAAGATGGTCAAGATTTTCGTTAGGACAAAATGAAAATATAAATTCCTATGACTGTGTGATACGGCCATCATAAGTAAATTGCTAATTCCAAGGATTGATTAAGAGTTGGCCTTTTTCTCTTGCCTTCACATAGGGTTGAATTTTATCATGTAAATAATAATACTATACTTGAGTCTATTCTAGGCTAAAGCATAGTCAATCTTCTTTTCTCTAAGTCAGAAAGGGCTTCATAGCAATACTCTTTGCATATGTCTGATAGAACACCAGCACCCGAGACTATATTTTCAGACTTTCCCAAGCTGGTATGTCCCGATACTAATTCCATGGGAATAAATGTGAACTTTTCTGCAAGAAGAGATTTATAGCAACCCCACACGCTGAATTAAACCACAGAAACAGGTTTTTTCCCCTGTTGTGTTAATACACATTCTTGATCTCCAAGAATACTAATCAAACAGAACTCATCATGCCTACAATATTTGTCACCTAAAGTTTATTTTACCCATATTTTGTAAGACCTCGGATTGTTCCAATTCCTATCTCTGTAACAAAATCCATGAAATTAACAACTCAAAAAGAAGAAATCTTCATGTCCAGAGTTTTCCAGGTCTCAGTCCATGCCATCTATAGCTGCTCATCCCAGCTGTTTCTGGGCTCCGCATCATGATGGGGAGAATGTGTTTGGTGAAAACTACTCCTCTAAGGACAGCAAGAAGCATAGAAGGTCACAGGGAAAGGACAGGGGACATAATTGACCCTACAAAATCATGCCCTTTGACTAATATTGATTGTGAACTTGACAGGATCTCGAATCTGAGTATATCTATGAGAGAGTTTCTGTATCAGGTTATCAGCATCATCAAGTATTTCATGGGTCAGAATCCCATATTGAATAAAAAGAGGGACAAGCTGAACAATAGTATTTATCTCTCTCTGCTTCCTGTAACATGACCAGCTGCTTCGATTTCTGTTGTCATGATTTCTCCATCATAATAGACTGCACCCTAAAACTGTGAGCCAAAATAAACTCTCCCCTCACTTAAGTTGCTTCTTGTCAAGTATTTGGTCACAGCGAGGAATAACAGAATAACAAATGTTCCCCTTGACCCTTACTTCCTCAAATTTGACTCAACTGTTGAATAGCTATGACCTTATCAACAGATGAATCCACTGACAAAGTTGGCATCTCTCTGTGACCCCAGCTATAAACACAGCTGTACTGGGATCAATCTTTCAATACTGAATCAAGAGGGGAAATTTTTAGATCTAAACCATAATATTCATATACATGGTATTCTACATTAATTTTACCCGTGTAGATAGACCTGGAAAGAAGTCTCATTAGATAATGTTAAAGACAGCCACTATAAAATGCTGCCAGAAATTATTTCTTTATTGCCCAACCCAGACATCTATATGAGTAATGGAATCTTAATTTTGACTTTTGCCTCTTTGTGATAATAAATGCTCCAAATCTTCCTTATGCAGAGTTTTAGACAGCTGTAAAATTTTTGGATAGCAGATCAAAGAGTAACTCTTTTACCCAGAATTGTCTTGATTCTGCTCTTATCTTTAATTATATTTAAAGACTCCACAGTTCCTTTTCCTTGAAGTCTTAAAGCAGGCGATTTTTGCCTTGATGCACAGTAAACACTAGAGAATGATAGCTATTATCATCATGGTTACTGTTATGACCACTTGTACTGTTCTGTATCTGTGAAATTCTGAGCCCATATAAATCTAAGATTTCCTTTAGATAGTATTCCAAGCAGTGTCTCGAAGCAGCCACTCTGAGTTCTAAATCTACCATATCTTAAAGTGAAGGGTATATCATTTAGCCAGTCATCTGTTCAATCATTCTTCATTCAATAAGCATTTATTTGGCATCTACTATATTCTATATGCTGTAGAAAGTTCTACAGAAGATGGGAGGGCGATCATGACATGTCCATAAAGATGAGAGGATTTCCTTTTCTAATCAATAGAAAGCCAAGACATGTGGAAATGGAGAACTGTAATATTCTGTAATTAGAAGTGAAAGATTTTTTTCCTTTGTTTAGGCTACACACAAAAGGCCTCCTAAAGCAGGAAGCAGGTGATGGTGGAGCTGGCCCTGAACGATCCTTAGGCATTGATTAGGTACAACAAGATAACTCTTTTCTTACAAAGTAATTATGTGAGAAGGTCATGTTGCTAGAAAGAGCTTGCATTTGAGGAAGTTCAAAAGTACTCAGAACATGGCATGTAAGCAGGAAGGAAAGTGGCAGGAAGTAAGGCTATACCACACATTGAAATCACTGTATGAGTGAACAGGTAATGTCTCACATTGATGCCTCCTGGTTGATAGTACCTGATGACAAGCATCCTTGGGCTTCAGAAATCTGAGTGATGGCATATGTGCAGTGGAGACTGATGTATGTCACAATCCTGTGGCCAGTGTCATACCTGTGTCCAGAGGTCGAGAGAATGAAGTCTATAAAGAGAATGTAGCCACTAAAAGGTCATTGGTAACTTAAGAGAGGACAGAGTCAGTGGGTTATAAGGAGCAGAAGAAAACTTCTAATAAGAATTGTTTTGGAGGTGAGAATGTTGAGAGTGAGTCTAGAGATAATGAGAAAGCAGAGTTGTTGGATGGGAAAGACTGCATCTTTGAAGTTATATCTAGAATGGTGATTCTGAACTAACAAAGTCACCTCATGACAGTGCTGTAGAAAATAAGTTCAGAGAATGTGAGTAACTTGCCCAAGATTGGGACTTCATCCTAGACCTCTCTGTACCATTCTTTTCCCTAACCCAGCCTGTTACTTAGACACACCTTCTCCCTTCCTGGTACAGTATATAGAGAAGGTGGCTTAGTTTGGGCTCTTAACATGTTAGTGGCATGTTAAACCATGGCTTCTGGTGTGGGGGCTATCTGGGTCCTGGCCTTCAGGAAATTAACTTTTCCAAGATGCCATGTTGTATCTTCATGCAAGCAATCCGACAAATACTTATAGAGCATCTACCAAGGGCCAGCACTGGTGGTTAGTTCTAAGTTCATCAGGGAATGAGGAAAAATGGTATATCCCCCTCATAGAGGGTTGTTATATGTTATGAGATATGCAGATCTTCCAAAGACAGTGGTTGGTACGTGGTACTTACTGCAGCTGGACTGTGGGGTTAGTGAATGGGGTGAAGCATGGGTGAAGGTCAGAGTGAGAGGAAGTGTGGCAGGTGAGGGCAGGGCTTCATAAACTCCACCCACAACTCAGTCACACCCAAGATTTTTATGTGACCCACAAGTATATAAGTAATAAAATATATATATATATAATGAAACACTTGCTAATAATGTATTATAAATAAATTTATTTTAAGATGATTCTTTGCGTGTAATTTTAGCAGTCATTAAAAATGGAAGCATATTTGCATGCTAATGGGATGAATGCTTGTTTATTTTATATAAAGATTTAAATCCTGGCTGAATATTTGATACTGTAGGACATAAAGCATCTTCAACATTTTTTCAGAGTTGATCAATACTTTGATTTTATAATCGTCAATGCTGAAAATACCACTTCATATAAATGCATAATACAAAATGACAGAATTATGCTTAGGGTCCCTTTCAAAACCGTTGGAAATCTGTGCTCATCACAGGCCAGAATTCATGTAATGATTTTTTTTTTCAGTGAAATTCAAGTCAGCAACTCTAACATCAATTTTTCAAATCAAACATTCTAACAAAGTATGGTTGAAAGACACATGGATTTGATACTTACATGCTGAGAACTAGGGGTAGGAAGACAACAAAAGTCTTACTTTCCAATAGTCACATATGCACAGTAAGAATGTTACACTCTTTAACATACGGC